AATGAATCCTCCTCACAGGAAAGCTGCAAACCTCCATTGGAACCAGCTCTTTGTTGCTCTCACACATTGGAGAGTATCTTTAAATTCCTCCTTGTCAAAACCATGCAAGCCCTTGGCATGCCCATTCTAAGAGCTGGTACCTGTTCCAAGCACTAATGCTGCTTCAGGGAACAGAAAAGCAAGGCTGAAGGCAACAGTGTTCAAAGCTGCCTTAATTATTAGAGCGTGAGCTTCCAAACCCCTTGAGAAGCACAGGGAGTGTTGGCCTCAAAATTCACAGCGTGCTCAGAGAAGCCAGGGATCCAGGGAGGTTTGGGGACATCTTGACTGCAGTCTGTCTGCCTGGCTCCACCAGCCTTGGATTGAGTCCTGTTCATTGCAGCAGCTCTGAATTCAGAGCAGAGGGAGCAGACAAGGCTCATTGCCTATTCCAGCCAGAGAGACTGCAACAACATTTGTGGTTTTCGGGTTTTTTTCTTTAAAATAAGGTTACTTGAGTAGACAGCCAGGAATAGACACTCTGTCTCCTCCTTCCTATACTGAGCCCCACTGATAATTATGCACAAACTGTCAGGGCTGCTTTGGAAAAGCAGTTCTAGAGCTGAAGCAGCCTGACATGCAAAGCTTTGCCTAGAGAAGTGGTGTCCTCAATGACCACCAAAGTCCAGCAGGGAAGCTGGGACCATTCAGACCCTGCACAGTGCAGCAAGAACTTCTTTTCTTGGCCACCAATCTTCCTGAAAAATGTTAAAATTTGGCAGCCTGGCCAAGAGGGGCATGGATTCATGTTTCTCCTGAGGGAAAATATATTCCTGTGCAAAGGAAATCTGTGGATATGCAGGATATGTATCTGTTTGCAATGTGGAATGTGTGAGGCTCCCTCCTTGCTTCATACTCTGCTGTGGTATTTATCCTCCCAGCAAGCCATCACTGCCTCATCTTCCAGGACTGTGCTTCAACTTAGACATCAGCAATTTCCCCTGCCACAGGCAATCAGTGAAATTACCTGATTTAAGGCCAGAGGAGTCAAAGATGTTACACTTTGGAAAACTCTTTCCACAGCTTCATTGCTTTTGCACATCTCCCGGCTGCAGACAGACCCAGTCACTTCTTCCATTTTGCACCAGGCTGGAGGAGTGGCCACTGGTGATGGCACCACTTCCCCACAGGACTCTGAGCATCTTCCACCAGCTTCAGCCACCCTCTCCTGCCCTGCACTGCTGGGCTCTGTTTGTCCAAAGCAAATTCAGGCAGATTTCCCTGTTGACCGTGGGGATTTTGCTTGCTCCGGTGGATCACATTTTTATTTTATTTATTTTTCTGCTAAAAGTCTGTTCTATGTGGATAAAACCCCAGGTCAGTCACACCACAGGTAACTCCCAGCCAGGGCACAAGGATTCATGCATGTTGGTGCTGTCTCTTCATTTCTTGGGAGGGATGGGGAGAGGGTTGGATGCTCTCCCGCAGTGACAAGGTTTGCAATTTCTTTTTAAAAGCCTGTAATCATCTCACTTCTGTGAGCTATTCAGGCATTTACATTGTTTTTCAGCATCTTGAGTGCTGGCTGGAAGCAGCTCCAGGGTTTGGGGGAGTGCAGCAGGGTGGCTGTGCTGACAGGCACCCCCATACTGAGCAGAGGAGGGCTGTGCTCCTGCCCAGAGGTGAGCAGGTTCCTCTGCATTGTCTTTTATCAGGGAAGAAAAAAAGGGGGAAAAAACCCTAACAAATCAATTCTGTTCACATGAAATACGAGCTGAACTTCCAACTAATAAACACCGAAGGATAAAGAAATGCCACGAAAACAAAAGTCCTGTTGTGACACAGCCATGGCTGAGGTTCATTCATTTTTTAGAGATTGTTTTTCCTTTTCTCCTCCTGGCTAAAAATGAGATTTTCAGAAAAGAGAAAGCATCACCAGCATACAAACACATATCAAAAAAGGAGCTGCCTTTCCCTATGGGTGCAGCCATCTGACACAGGGTGGACACAGAGACCTGGATGGAGCTCCCTGACTCCATCCCCCACAGTGGCAATGTGTACCTGCAGCATCTGGGAACCCAAGGGAAAAACCTAGCAGGCTCTTGGGTGATATTCTTCCCCATTGATCCCATTGCAGATATGCCCTCCCCCTGGCAGTGTTTTCTCCCCTAACCCATGCTGTGAGGCTGGCACAGCAGTGGGAGCAGGGAAAGCCAGCTCTTGTCTCACTTATGACCACTTAGCAGGAGAGGAGAGGATCCCATAACCATTCACCTCACTTGCAGGGATCCAAAGGACTCCCTGCTTTCCTTTAGCCAGCCCTGCAGAAGCTCCAAGGTCGAAATGCAGCCCTTCACAGGAGTCAGTCCCTGCCCTGAGGAGCTGCAGGCAGAGACCAGAAGGCAGGAGAGCACTGATTCCCCCAGTCTGTGCCATCTCATCTCCATGCTGTCATGCCATCTGTGGGCTTTATCCCAGGAACTCCTGTCACATCCACTCCCATTAGCATTTCTCAGTGCTCTCCTGCCCTTTCCCAGCATCTGCTGACCAAGTCCCTCTGGTCAGCCCTGCTCCTCGTCCTTCATCAAGGCTTTTCATTTCCATGATGCTGTTACCCACTTTTGCTGCACTCTGCCCTGCAGCAGCTCAGCACACGAGCTGCAAACCAGGCAACCCAGCTTGCTAGCAAAGAGAGCTTCCAGACAGGGATTGAGCTGCTATTAATTTATCCTATATTTGTTTTGAAAAGATGCCTGGGGAAGGTACACCATTTCCCTTTCCAGTTAGAGGCTTAACAGCCACAGGCTTTCTCCTTTCTCAGAAATGGAAATCCATGTTTATTTTGCATGTACTCCATCAATCCCCAAGGCATTGCATCCAACAGGCCAAAATCAGAGCTCTGTCTCCACCAAAACACTTCAGGAGAAAGAGCAGAGGGAGACATGCTCTACCTTTACTAGAAGAAACATCTATTTATTTGGGACCAAGGCAGCTGCATGGAGTATAAATTATTTTAATTGGTAAGCCCAACAGGACTCACTCCCTCTTAAAGCAGAAAGGGAAGACCTGGAACATCCATTTCCAGAGTGATCACTGAGGAGCAGCCAGACTGCAATTCCTAAGAGGCTCTTCAGAGGGTTTGATCATTCAGGATGCTCTCACATGTACAAAGTACTAATCTACCTGCAGCACCAGCCATAATCTGCTCCCAGTTAAAACTTGTGCAACTCTGCTGAAGCCAATTTATGAAGCAAACATTTAATTTAGCGAGCAGGCTCACAATCCTAAATTTAAACATATGTCAAGCCAGCTAGTGGCTTTGTTTTAATTAACTCTCAAACTTTGTGGCTGTCATTTCTTTATATAAACGAGGATGTTCTGCCAAGGGCAGCCTGTGAGCCTGTGTGCATCCCTAGGAAACCTCCTGCTATTTCACAGCCACTTTTCAAAGAGCTCTTGCAGGGGTAAGGGGATGTGGATGTTATTATAAGGGTCCATATGGCAGTACACTGGCACTGCAGCATTAAATCAGAGGAATTGTAGCTTTCCAGCCCGGATTCTCACAGTACCAGGTAATGTATATGTAGCTTTACTGTTGTACAATTTTAGTGGCTATGCATTATTCAGGAGCAGCCCGAGTCTCTGCACTGCCGGAGGTGATTCAGCGATGATAAAGGGAATACGCTTTGCTCTAAAGCAGGAGTGAAGGGATTTCACGGGTCGCTATCTTCTCCACCCACGGAGAAACAATGGAAGCGTTAACACTTCTGGTAAAGAAATCAGCTGGCGACAAATTCTCATCGATAATTAAAATGAAAGCGCGAGCTGCCTTAACGTGTAGTTAGACTTAGGAACCCTAACCTGCTCTCTAAATTAAATGCTCTCCTTGATAATTTGCCTCTCGCAGCAGGCACTGAAATCTGCTAGAAGATGCCATCTAGTGGGTTATGGAAGTTTATTTAAGTTTTAATCCACTTGCTGATGTGGGGCGAGGGTGGCAAGAGCTGCAAATGCTGGGGTGCATAATGATTCCTTTTTGCTGTCGCTCCAGGAAATTCGGTATTTCCCTGCGGGGGTTTGCATTGGAAGAGAACTAATATTTATTTTCCCAGTGCCCAGCAGGGCAGCCGGATTGTCAGAGCCTTGCTGTTGACACAGCCGAGCCTCACGGCTGTTTTGCTGGCAGAGCATCTTCCCGAGCGAGCGTCGGGGCTGCTGCTCCTCATTGAGGAGAGGGATCCGCTCCCCATTCCTGGGAAAGCTGTGCCGCCATTGCTTTTTTCCCTAAAAACACCCTCCAAACACTATCCCGTACCTCTAAATTATGTCGTTTTCATTAGAGTTAAAGCCATTTAATTGCTATCCGGCTAAACAGTACTGTTTTTTAAAGCGAACCAGGGATGGGGATGGATTTGGAGGGATACTTCGATGGTATCTCCATCCCTGCTGGAGAATGCCTTGTTGTCCCCCAGTTATTGTGTGCCCATGGGGCGAACCCCAGCCCTTTGGGGGCCACCCAGACCCTTTGGGGAGCATTTACAGTTCTTACCCTTCAGCCTGCCCCGCTTCTCCCAGTCCCCACTCCCACCCAAGGGGTCCCTCCCTCATTAAGGCGTTTTAAGCCAATTAACCACTGTGACCCCCACTCCCCAGCACCGACGGCCGCTTCGAATCCCGCTCCGCCCAGACACCCCGCCGTGCCGCGGCACCCTGGGAGCGCCGTTCTTGGAGAGTCATTAGCGGGGAGTCATTAGCAGGGCTCATTAGCGGAGGGTCATTAGCGCAGGGTAATGAGCGGGGAGCGGGGCGGGGCCTCCCCGGGCGGTGGGCGGGGTCTCCGGGGCCCCGCCCCCCGCGCGAGCGGAGCGGAAGTGCCGGAGTTGCCGCCCGGCGCCGCCGCCGAGCGCGGGCGAAAGTTGCGCTCCGGGAGCGCGGCGGGGGCGGCCGGACCGCGCTCCCTGCTCACCGCGCGGCTGCTCGGCCCCTTCCCGCCGCTCGGCCCGCTCCCGCCAGCCGCTCCGATGCGGCGGAAGCAGAAGCGGCTGCTGCAGGCGGTGGGGCTGGCGCTGGCCGCCCTCGTCTTCTTGCCCAACGTGGGGCTCTGGTCCCTGTACCGCGAGCGGCAGCTGGAGGGCGGCGGCGCGGCCGGCGGGGACGGGGCGGCCGCCGCGGGGGCAGCGGCCGGCGAGGCGCCGGTGAGTGGCGGGGCTGGGGGGGCTGAGCGGCCCCGGCTGTGCCGGGGGGGCCGGTGGGAGCCGCCGGGCGAGGGTCGGGGGGCTCCGGTGGGAGCGAAGGTCGGGGGGCTCCGGTGGGATCCGCCGGGTGAGGGTCGGGGGGCTCCGGTGGGATCCGCTGTCGCACGGGGCGTGTGCGGGGCTGGGCGCGACCCCTCCCAGCACGGAGGGCAGCGAGAAGCGGCAGCCGCCCCATGAGAGGATGGGGCAGGGCAGGGAAGCCGGGGTGGGCTCGGTGGTCCCCGGGAAGGAGCTGGTTTGTGTATCCTGTGGCTGCGGTGGAGGAGGAGCGCGAGTACTTTCTTGGCAATTCACGGGAGGGTCTCCTCGCCTTTTTTCGGCTTAGCGTGGTAAGGGAATAAAGCAAGGTCTTTGCTTCTTGCGCCAAGGAGCGAGGCAGGACTGGTCCCAGCCGTGCACAGAAAAGAACGGCGATTCCGCTCCCCAAGGGTGTGCCTCCGTGCCATTTCTCTTTACCTGCCTTGGAAGGGTGTGGGAAGCAAACATCACCTGTTACTCGGCGTCCCCGCAGAGCTCAGGGCGAGGGCTCGCAGGGAGGAGCAGGTGGAGCTTGCGGGTTGTGTCAGAGGAGTGATGCTCCTTTGGGAAAAGCGGATAACTCTTCCTGAGAGGCAGAGGATGCCCGCCGGATATGTGGCCTGAGGTTGTTGCAACACATGGCTGCTTTCCTTTCTTGTCCCACTGGTGTAGTAGTAAATTTCACAGCCAAACCTGTCTGTGCAGCGTGTGAGTCAGGAAGGCTGGATCACCCAAATTAGACGTTTGGAAGCACAGTTTAGCTGCACTTACTTTTGGCTGTGTAATAGCTCTGTCCCCTTCTGGGTTTAGCTTTGTGCCATTAAGAATGATTGGGACTTGAAAGCTTGAAATGTCATTGTGTAACTATCAGTTCAGCTGCCACTCTAAAAGGCTCTGCTTGTTCAAAACCACTTAAAACTCTTATTCTTCTAAATCTTCCCCTCCTTGGAGACTTCCTGCTGTAACTGCACCGTAAAGGTGGAGAAACCTGCTGTGACAATTTTTGCTCTGAGGGAGAGAAGGCTCTCAAAGAGCTGTACTCAAACTGGGACTGAGCTCTTCTTTCCCCCAAGAAATGCTTTTTCAAATTCAAGCTTTTTAGTGTAAGTCTGGATAAAACCATGCTCATGTCCCATGCTGCTGGGGAAGGGGATCAGCTGTTGCCTGTCATAAAACATAAATTTGCAGCAGATCCTCAAATCTGCACAGAAGTCCTTTTGACTTGACCACACAGTGATCATTACATGCCTGGAGTTCCTGATGTTGCTGCCTTATGCTTGTATTTCTGTGGGATGCAGGGAATCTATTTTGCATGGCTGGTAAAAACCAAGCCCTGCTCCATAGCTTCATGTGTTAGGGTGAAATGAAGACCTTTGTAAAATCATGTGTCCTCCAGAGGTAATGAGGAGAAAGTTGGGAATTATTCTTAGGAGACTTCAAAGTGGCAAGTTGGCTTTTATGGTTTTGGTCTTCCAAAATTGTCCTTGTACTGTAGGCTTTGGGTAGACGTAAGCCAGGCAGCATCTCTCCTGATTTCTGTGTCCTTGCAGTGTTCTCAGTGTTCAGCTATCCTGAGCTGCCCGTGTTGTACACAATGCCTGCTCCATTTTTCTTTATGTCTCTGTAAAGTATGGCAGCTGTCAGTGATTTGAGATCTGCTTTTGTTTTGATGGTGTGTGGAGTTGGAAACGCCTGTGCAGCTCGCAGGAAAATTTGCAGTAAAACCTCTCTGCACTTGTGTAAATCAGAGCTGCTGGGTTTTAGGCTGAAGGCTTCATCTTCCAGTCTAATTAACGTGGAATTATGGGCTGCAGGGGGGTCTGTGAGTGAAGATATATTTGTGTTATGGGCTTATTTTTTGAATGATTTGGCCCTGCAATGATAGCTCCAGTTACATTGCGCTAGGGAAAACATAGCCTTAAGGACAACAGGCTGTCTTGGTAAAAATAATTTCAGATGAAGCAGGATAAAAACAACTCAAATGTGATTTTGTTTTTCTGTTTAGTTGTGTGGGTTTGTTTTACTGTTGTCATAGAGGTATCTGCCAGCTGACTGCAGAGAGTTTTTTGGGCATCCTCACAATCAATGGTTCCTGCCTCCCTTCCTTGGTCCCAACAAGCATTCATGGGTTTTGTATTTAATAACCAACTTCCAGCTTGTAAATGAATATGCTTTTTGTCTGAATATTCTTCTTGTTCCTGAAGCCTTTCGAAAGAGCTGACTTCTTAATACAAAAACTCCAGATGATAGGAGACAATATAATGAAAAAATATATTCAGAGCAGTCAGAAAAGATTTTCTTCTGTTTCTGGCTTTAATTTGCCTTTTTGTGCAGGCTAATCTTTGAATTGAGGACATTTCCTATGTACTTCAGAATTGAGCTTTTCAATGAAATCTCTGTCCAGGCTCATTCTTTCTCTTTAAATGGTGTCTGCTGTTTCAGTCAGTAGTTCTATCCCTCAGAGTAAAAGCAGAAGAGGGTGAAACGTTTTAAGAAACAGCTGAATTAAAGCTATAAAACAATTCCTAGAACCTTGTCTTATTGCTAAAATTTTGAAGTTTGAAACCACCCAGGAGTTTTTGTTGTCTGTCTGTGCTGCATGTTACCTTCAGTAATGTGGCAATATGCATCACTATAGGTGATTTGGCTTTATTTAATCTTTCTAGTGCCCGAAACAAATATGTCAGAAAATTAAGCAATCAGAAACGATGTAAATATATTCTAGGGAAGATTATTCTAAACGGTTTCTGCGGAAGTGCCTAGGCAGCTAATTGCTTCTGTATTTACATGTTCAGGGGAAACATTATGGTGGCTGAAAATAGTGTCTTGCTTTAATAAGGAGGGTGAGGTATCTGCTCTTTCCTCTGCCTTTGGGTCTGTTCTGTTGCAGCTCTGTGGGTGTTTCTCCCTCCACACAGGAGAGATGGAGAGAAGTCAGCAAGGTCTTGGCCTCAAGGTCGTGCTGCAGATCTCCTCAGAAAAGCTGGAGCTCTGAGTTAGTCCTTGCTTAACTGCTGTGGGCTCAGAAGTGGCCTCTGTCACTCTGTGCAGGGCTCAGAAGTGGCCTCTGTCACTCTGTGCAGTGCTCAGCAGAGGAGATGATCTGTGAAGTCCTTTTTTCCTGGGCTGTGTAACAGGTCTGGCATTAAATGGGGCTGGTGGCATCGTGGTACTGAAGCGTTTCTGCTGACAGCTTTAGAAGCTGCTTTGACTTCGTGACTGTGCTGTTTGCTCATCACTACGTGTGTCTCAGTGTGCTCACGGAATGCAGATTGACTTTTCTGTAGATTCATCTTTTTCTTTTTTTAACAACTATTCAATAAGTAAAAACATACGATCTGTGGGTGTGGGGGTAGGAAGAAGCAGAAGGAATGCAGCTATTCCTTTTGTCTCTTGGATCTCTGCTGTCTGCCTCAGAGGCTGCTGAGCATCCTCAGCCCAAATGTTTAATTGATGTGGATGTAGCTTTGCAGTGTGTAAACCCTGGATGAGTTAGGCTGTGGGCTGGTGGCTTGTGTTTGGGCTAATGCAAGTGTTTATGTGGCTTTCAGCGCTCTGCAGAGCTGCTGCTCTGCTCTTCTGTGGTCAGGCTGGAGATCCTCCCTGTGTGAAACCTGCTGTTCTGGGAATGTGGCTTTTGAGCTCGCAGAGATACTGAGCTGGAAGGTTTTTCTTTGAATTGCTGGCTGAAAGCACTGTAGCAAATGAGCTGCCTTTGGTGGCAGTGCGTTTTTATCTGATATGATGAATGCTTTATGGAGTCGCCCTGTAGCTTGTTGTGGCAGTAATTTGTGCTCTATAAATTAGCTCGGGAGCATGATGGAAGTGTATAAATCACATCGGTGATTGTGTGGTGCCCTCTGCTGCCGGCTGGCTGGAGTGATGTGGGGTACACCCTCCTGCTGCTTCCTTGGCAGTCAGAAACCAACTGCAAACTTGGGACTGAAAAATGCCTGGGGAGGGTGCTGCTGTTGGAAAGTTTGGGGTGATAAACTTTGGCTTTAGTGCCAGTGAGCCTAAAGTTTCCAGCCAGCACGGCTGAAAATGCAGCCCTGGTGAGGACTGAGTGGGGAGTGATTCTGCTCGTGTCCTCCTCAGCTGAGGAAGAGGATGGGCTTTGCTGTTCTGACCTGGGGGCAGCTGTCAAGAGTTTGTCAAGGTTTGTCAACATTGTGGTGTGGTTTGCAAAAACTAATAAGGAAGACCTAAAGCACAGTCCAGATGCCAGGAGCCAAAAAGTTTTGCAGTAGAAATCTTCCTACCATGAAGAAAGGTCACCATTATTGCAGGAATTAAATTCATAATGAAGCATGTTTGAACAGTGAAACAGAACCACTTTTCCAATAACAGAAGGGAGGAGAAGGGCTTGGGAAAAATTAGAGGAACACTGTTCTGCTCTCTGCCAGCCAGAAGGGAGTTGGAGAGCCAGAAGGGAGCTGGACAGCCAGCTTGCTGTGCTTCACAGGTTTATGGCAGACTGGTCCTGTCCTAGACCCTGCTGCTGCTCCACAGAGCTCTTGGGCACTGCTGTGTTTGCCAGCCACTCATCAGCTATGTACAGGGAAACTTTGAAAAGCTTGTTTTTGTAAGTATGGTGTAAAACAACTGGCATCTAAGGACTGGAGGACAAGTGCTACAGCTGAACAAGCCTGTTTTAATTTAAGAGTGACTGGTCGAATGTGGGCTGCTCTGAAGTTTATCACTTGAGTGAGTGCACTTGTGAAATGAGCAGGGTTTCCTGAGCTAGGTAAGCATGTCCTGCACTTGTGGTTGGCAAAGGGAGCTGAAGTGAAGTGTCTAAACCATCTCACAGCTGTAAAGTGCAAAGTAAAATTTGAAAATATGCTTATAAAGAAACTGGAGCTTTCAGTGGCCTTCACTCAAGGTCTCATTGTGGTGATCTTTGTTGTAATGGCAACACA